CGTTCGTTGGACTTAATTACAATACTTCCTTAGTTTACGCTTGGGACGTAAAAAATGGCTACTTTTCTGACCAACGTTGTCTTTTGTTGGCTAATGCAATTTTACGTAAAATTTGGTAAAATGTTGAATCGAGTTATTCAGAACAGATGGATCTTTCACTATTTTCTGTTAAATTAACGCGGTCTCATGGTCGTTGGTGTTTTGTAACAAATTACGTAAAAACGTGTTTAGTGAACAAAGCGCAGAAAATGCTTTAAGAAAATATTATTCCACAAAAGCAAATAAAACGTTTCAGTAATCATAAATGACGGATTTTGCAGTTTTTTTTTCTCAGTTTTTTAGTAAAACAAAAACTTTTTACCACTCTTGTGTTTTCTATTAGATATTTCATGATAATGACGCGATATTTGCAAACTAAAATTGATTGACATAGGTTCATAAATAAATCCAAGTGGGCACTGATTTGTTCCGCCTCTTTAGGAATGTGTAACTATAATCGCAACGAAGGTTGAAATGCCCTAATTAATCTGTCAGATGACATATTAACCATATTAATTAAAACGCTAAAAATGTCTACCATTACTAAGAAGTGGCAAATCTGTAACATTCTTAAATTTCACAGGTCACTGAGTGTAAGAAATATTTATCAAAGCTCTGTATATGTATAAACATATGGACAGTGTAATTTTTGCTAGAGAAATTTATCTTGAAAAATCTGTAGATTTAAAATTTTTTCCAAATCTCCAAACGTCTCAAGTAATTTTTCCGCCTATTCTAAACCCACCAACGTTCACTTTCTTTCCCATAGCTCCCGCCTCCCGCCGCAAACCTGAATCACAACTCGCCGTTTATCACACCTCCATTATCGCTCGCTCAAAAAAAATCCAAGCCATCTTTTCGCGAACCGCTTCACTATCAAAAATACCTTCCCCGAACCGCTATCATCACAAATTAATAATTTTTCGAAGGTCAGCGTCGGAATAATTGAGCGTGATTCAGTTCACGCCACGATAGCGCAGCAACAAATTCGGTCAAATTTCAAGTACAAACGTCTAGGGTCAAATTACCCAGCGACGCCGACAAAATTCTTTCTCGGCGCTGTTTCGGGCGAGCCCAGCGGTCGCCATTCCCATATAGTGGGCCTTGTCGAAAAAAGCCGCACGCGTTTCGTTCTTGTCTAATTCAAGGCCATCTAAGCACCAAACCAAGCCAATGGAACAGGACGCCGAATTTTCGGCGGTGGTGGGAGGCTGGCCCGGTACTCTATTGGCCCACGCGACCGTTCTAAAACAGGTTCGGAATAGATGAATAGTTTGTGGCCTTGCGGGCCATTGTTGCTCGAGCATGAATCACACGGTAAAGGTACCGGCTGTAAGGCGATTTTTTATTGGTTCGCGCCGGTTTAGAAATCGACCGAAATGCACGCGAGTGAGAGGGAGAATGAGAGAGAAGTGTGCGGTTTCGTTGTGGAAATTTATTGTTGCGTTATTGTCATTTTTACTATTCGATAGGGGTGACCTTTACGGGATGTTGACGGCCTTATGGGCGGATGAGAATTGGCGCTTTGACACAAATGTCACCAGGAATTGATATGAAACGGGGAAAATACACACTGAAAATTGTTTTATTTTTTAATAGCGAATATTCTAAAAAAAATTATGAGAAAGTTTATATTAAAACTTTTTTCATACATTGGTCCACAAATATAAAAAACTATATACACTGATTTAAAACTGATGAGAAATAGCTACAGTATTTTTTTCAATTAGATACATATTAAATAGGACTTGACTCCAAAATTGGAGTCTAGCGAATATGATAGATTCTGTTTGGCACACAATAGTTCATTTACTGGTGTTGATATTTATATGCAGTAAAGCTAAGTTTATTGACGAGTCTTAATGTCAAACGGGATCACATATGGATTTCTCTAACCATACAAAAATCATTTTTATGTAGTTCGCCACAGATCGTTCAAGAATGGAATTATTAAGATGACATTCTAGTTTTTTGAAAAACGAACAAATTGTTCTTACAAAACTAATTTAGGTTCAAAACAACAATGTCATTTTGACATATATATTAACATGATTTACTCTGAAAAAAATGATATGTAACACCTGATACAACCGTCAAAAAACATAATTTATGACTTTTACAACTAGAATTTAAATATAAAATGTAACATTTTTCACTAAATGATGCCTTTTTCGTTAGAAATAAACGCTAACAAAATATATGTGATACGGTTTTTCACTTCTGCGTGTATTATATTTGTTCATGTAACACGAAATAGTAGGCCCTGCTGTAAACAACTTTGATATATTATTTAAAAATTCAGTTGTTTTGCATCGATATAATGACTCATGTAACTAAGTTAAAAATGTATTTATGTAACAGTTCGACATTTAAAGCAATACTAGAGAAAACTAGAAAAGTGTTCTGTTCTTTTTAAAAATAAAACGTTATATTATGTCACCATAACGGTTTTAGTGTCTTGTTGTTATATATAGTGTATATTACTTTATTATCATTAAGTTTGGTTAAGTTAATCTCTCTCCTAATAGAAAGCTAAATACTGGTCGTTAAACAAAATCGTCGCTCATAAAAAACGTTTCCGGTTGAAATATACTGGAATTCCGAAACATAGGTACACTACAATGGTTTAAAATGTCTTACAAGTTATGTGTAACTTATCAAGCGGCACATTTTCTGAATTTTAGAACGGAAAAATATAGTTGCTTAATTTATTTGCAATACTTAATAATTTATATAACAACTAAACTAAATTTTAAATTTACACCACGTATACTGGGAGTCGTCACCAACTCATAGTTTCTACGTAACCACGGACACAATAATTAAAACGATTGCCTTCCTAAAAAATAAATTTTCTCTGAATCTAGTCATAAATCGGTGTTGGTTTTCAAAAAATTCAGAGCTCAATTTTGCCGCTCATCTTCGAAATGACAGTTACTACATATCAAAAACTGAGGTTTCACTTATTTTGAAAATTTATTTACGGGTCTTTGCTCAAATGACAAGCAAAAGATTTTTGGGTTAACAGAAATTTATAGCTACAATATTTTCCAAAATTTTCGAACAGACTATTATCTAAAAAAAAAAAAAAACAAAATTAAAATTTTAAATTAGGACATATTTTATCTTTTTATGTTTTATAATTCTAAAGTGTAGACAAAAAAATAGCAATGATGTTGATAAAACATAATACTTCAATACTTAAAATCGTTCGATAATTCGAACGTTTGTAAACATAAAACACTTAAAATCATTAATAAAATACTGCCTACCGAAATTTTTAGATACGATGACAATTGTGATTACGGAAAAAATGATTTAATCGCATCTCATACGTAACATGAACACAGCATTTTATTGTCGTTGTACAATTTTTAATTTTGTTAATATAAATAAAAATGAAGTTACTTATTTTGGCATGAGATGTTCATTTATTTTATTAAAAGATCGGATATTTGATATTTCTGTTTTTCGGTGTAATGCGTGTATTTATACAAAGAAATTTCGATCCATTAGTCTTCTTCAGCGTAAACTTAATAAGAAACAAAACAGTACCCATTTTAAAATTTACAGCTTTATAAATTACTCTCAGCTGAAATACCGTTGAAGAAAACAGAAAAATATATATTCTGTAGTTCTATACATTAGCTGTCATAGATTATGAAGTATCTATGTTTCGTCGAAAGCATGCAATAAATCATTAGTTATAAAATAACTGTGTAAAAATTGCGGAAATGAGCATAAAAAAAATTGTGAAACAGATACGGGCTGAAAACTCGGAAAAATCCTTAATAGACCAGCAGGAAGTTGAGAAATAAAACTAGACACGACCATCATGATCGTAGATAGTGAAAAACCCAGAAAGAAATTACATATAATTATAAAATGATACAAAAACTTCAATGTTGGCAACATTCAATTATAATGGTGTCAATTGCACATGGAACTAGCCTACAAATAAAGTATAACAACCGAGTACAAGAAAGTATAATTGGTCAAAACTATCGACATTTAGAGAAGCCAAGGTTAATCATTACCGCTTGCACAACAACCGCACCAAAAAGAAAATTAAAGAAAACCGCAAAAAAATCATTACATAAAATATACAAAGTGGAAAAACAAAGTTGCGGTTAACTCCACCCACTCCAGCAAAAGACAATCGAATGTGATTTGTCGGTTAAATGGGCGGAGCCATACGCACTATATCATTTCCGAAACTAGCACTTTTTTCGGGTCGGAGGAGGGGACTATTATAGTTAAAAATCCGGTTTCGTCTTCCCCTCCCGAACCGATCGACGCCATATTGGCACCTTTTCGGCGAATCGTCGTAATTAAAAATTGCCACGATAAGACGAATTGGAGCGTGAAAAGAAAAGGAGCGAATTTTGGGATTCTGAGTTTGCCTCTTCTTCGAAATGGGGCACCGAGATTGGCGCATGCGTTCCGAAAGGTGCATTTTCACAGTGCACTCTGTAGGTGAAGTCGTGCATTAAATGCACAAATATAGCTCACGGTTACATTGACATTTACATGTTAATGGGATTTATTCATTGCCGAGCGTATGAGGCAAAGGGTGTTTTGAAGCGACGTTTCTGAAATAAAAACGGGGGAGGATTTGCAATAATTGGGTGCGACGAGGAGTCTGGGGCGGGGTGAGTGAGGGCGTCGAATTTTCCCGAAAAAGAAAAAACAAAGTAATAATTCGGCGCCGATGGAGAAAAATGCGGCACGACGCATACAAAAAAGTGCATCTTGAAAATCATTAAATGCAGAGGAGACGGGGCGAGCTCGAGATGCGGAGTTTGTTTTTCGTGTGTTGGCAACGCAAGATTTTGAATTTCCTAGGGGAAAATCGTGGGCATCGCGTCGCAGTCAACAGGTTATAGTGAACACCGGAGTCGTCCGGGCTTTCCGGCGAAAATGCGTAGTGGCATGCAGTGTTTCTCGGTTTGTGGACTTACCGACGATGTGAACCATGTTTCTTGTCCATCTTTGCAGTTCTCTCCTAATATTTCTCCTCTGTTGAACGCATCGCGCATAAGAGCACTCCGCCATTTTTTCCGAGCGGCAAGTTTGCTACACTGATTCGTACAAAACAAGATTTTCTAAGACCCATTGCTTCAAATTCATTACACCAAAATTTTACCGATAAAACCGACCGTCGAGTCAGTGGCGCACTGCACACCCCCACTAATTTAAATCCCAAAATCGTCACTCGGCCGTAGCCAGCTCAGTTTTTGTTTTCGTAACTTCGTAGTCACCACGCCGCCTGCGATCGGTGGAAATCTCCTCTTCTCGCGCTCCGTTTTTTCGCCATAGCCGCCTGCGACCGTGATCTGCAACAGAACAACAAAAGACGATCAGATCCGGCCGACTTTGATTTCCCTCGTCTACTTTTTCATCGTACTATTGCGTCTCCGTCGAGCGGCGCGCTTCCATTTCTTGTCAAAATTCGCACTAGTGTTGTTGCATGAATGGTGGTCTGTATCACTACTGTAGTAACGTCATATTGTGACGCAACAAGTGCGACGCCACTCGGCGCTTGCATGCACTTGCATTTTCCCTCCCCTCGCCCGCACGCTAGATCCGTGCATCCCCGTTCGCTCCGTCCTTCTCCCTCGCGCCGAGTCGGACAAGGACGCACGAACCTCCCCTCCGCGTCGTCTACTCGCGTCTCTCTTCCTGGTCTATTCGCCTTCTTTTCTAGCGTGTTTATGTCGGGCTTTCCCTCTTTCTCGATTCTTCTTTGTCTGATGACCTGCCAACTCGGACCTCGGCGAGTTTTTCGTCTTTGTCGCGCGATTTTCCTAGTTTAAACTTGAATTGGTCTCTTTTTAATGGGTTAGGTGATGCTGCCGGACGAGGGGAGGGCGAAAATTTGACGAACGACGGTGGGGGAGAGAGATGAGTGCGTCTGGAATTGGAGTTTTCTTCGTATGAGCCGAGTTGGGAATTTCTCGTGGGAAACTTTACTAACAAAGTTGGTGCATCGTTAAGGGTGGAAAATATCGAGACGGGTTTTGGGGAATGCAAGATAAATTTTGACAATTTTCTTATTTCGCTGGCGGAGATGAAACCATACAAAATAAACGAAGCATCTCGGCTTCTGACGGACGAGTCGAGCGCTATTTTTTTAACAGATGCGACATTTTTCTCGACTCCGGTGATGACTGAAACTTCTATTCCGGGCTTCTTATCTCACTTTTTACTTTTTTTTTTCAGATACCTGTATTCTAGAACAGCGTTTTAGCAGCTTGCACTAATTTCTATCTTAAGTAAACAAAGTCGGAATATCAAACTGTTTGACGATCTAATTAGGACATGAACGATGATATTAATAAGTCGATTAGGTTTTGCAGGTACGATGCCGGATATACATCTAATTTCTATTTTAATACATATAAGTGCTTCTGATCTACACTTATTATTAATAAGTAATTGGACAAATTTAAATTTTCGAATTATAAGTAGGTATATAACAGGTCACAGTCATCAACGTTTCGTGACATAGTAGTGCTACAGCTTTACTACTCAGTAAACAAGTACGTAACTGTGTTACCTAATGCTTTGGAACTTTGATAAATATTGATCGAAAATGATTCTAGTTTAGGGAGCCTGTTGATAATAGCTTACGCGTGTAAAGCCGAGAAATTAGCAAATAAACTCTTAAATTCTAACTAATACATAATAACAAACGTTTTTTGTTACTTCGAAAGAATGTATTACGACTCGTGTTGACCACACCACAACTGCTGATGCATAAATTAGATTTATATTTTATGTTACAGTGTAGTTTTTTAATAAATTTTGTTATAATAACATATCGAAAAAATTTATTCTAATAGGTACCGGGATTTAAAATTTAAGAACAGTAAAATTAGCAATTCTAGCATCTCATTAAATAATGTCAATTTTATCTTTTTTATTTTTTCACGATTAAACTACAGGTAGAGAAGCATGCCATACGTATGTTCCAAGTGAGTTTTTCTAAAAACTAAAATTTTGTGATGGCGTCATCAAACTTTTTTATTAATTATATTCGAAACATTCTGATAGATACGCAAATCTAAAAAATATGGATGCACTTACCTATAACACAATTACTGACACATAATTTTCTGTACATTTTAAACAGGATTTATTTATCAAAATTTTGAAACGACGTCATCAATTTTTTCGAGGGAACAAAAAGAGATAAATTTTGATTAGGGCTTTGTAAGATTTCAGGGTAGTCGGTTTAATTATAAATTATTATATATCTTCGATTTTTTTCCAAAGATATGATGTCTAAGGTAAAAGTAAGGGAGAATTGATGAGCCACAAGTATATTGTGAAAAAGTTTTGAAATGATGTCATTAAATTCTTGCTGGGAATGAGTAGACAAATTTTGGTTAACGCTTTACCATCTACATGGTATTCTTAAAATAAACTTAAAATTTCACAACAATTAGTCCCGTACTTAGTTTGGGAAATTGTCTATCTAATAAAATCACCAACATAGAGAGCTGAGAGAAGCGAAGATGTACTTTTACATATTCTTATTACAATTTATAAAACCTTGAAAAATGATAAAATTGGTCATTTTTTTAAAACTTATTGCAACAGTTTCTTAGTAAAGTAAAAAAATACATATACATGCAGATAAATGTCCTATTTGTGATAATTTTTTGAGGCAAAAATAAGTACCTACTTGATAAAATATATTGTATACAAATTTCGTAAAAACTATACAATGGTCATTTGAATTCTCAGACATTTTAAATAATAAATGTGCAACATTATATACACCGAGAATTTATTTAATTTAAAAATCACATTTTAATATTTCTGGTTCAGTTTTGCACCGTCACGTTTTTCAATAAGTGTGAAAACGGGCAAAAGGACAAAAAGTTTGCAAAGTAGTAGGCAAAGAGGAGCAAAATTCATCATTACTTCCCGAGCGTATAGTAAATGAGTCCATCGACCGACTGGCCACTTTCAAATTTTTTCCATGTGTCACGCATGACTCCTAGGATACGAAAAAATAGGTCTCCCGTTTCCACCTCTTTGTCTGCCTGTATGTCCGCCGTCTGTGTCGATTTTTGTTAGACAGATATCTTAGTCATCGAAACTACCGGACCGATGATTGTCAAATTTTACACGCATACCGATTATGAATATCATGTAAGTAGGTATACCTATAGTAAAACGCTAACCAAAATTTGTTTAATCGTCCTCATCAACAATGTAATCACACCAAAATTGTACGTAGCAGATGGGTTTTAAATTATATAAAATAGCATATTCCAACACCTATAGTTTACGAATTCGCGTTGAGTTTTTACTCGAAATATCCAAATTTTTGAAAAAAAAAAATCAAAACTGTACAACAATCTTGTAAACGTTTTAAGGTTATCGTTGATATGGTACATTTTTAATCAAAATGTAATTGTTTATCCCATCCAACATTGATGACGTCATCTCAAAATTTTGCCAAATAAATCTAAAATACGATGAGTCTATACTTATGAGTATGAGTCAACCATTGTATTGAGATTTTTTAGAATTGTTTATACAGGGTGATCCAAAAAAAATATTGAATAAGTCATTTTGCCGAAACTGCAATACTGTTGTTAAAATTATTATTAACATTACACTGCACCTATCCAAACTGATATACCTAGTTCTCAAAAATGTTGACGACGTCATAATAAAATTTTGTAAAGGAAAAACTCATTTGAAACATGCGCGTAGCGCCTTTCTCTACATTCTCATAAAAAATAAATCAAACTAGCAAAATCAAATTTTATGATTTTTCGGAAAAGCTGGATGTTTAATTGTATTTCAGGGGCGAGGGTAGTTCTACCAAAATAACCTTCCACCAATCCTTTTTCTCTGAAAAACCTATAAATTTCCTCATCGCACAATATTAGTCAACAAAATAATTAAATAATACCTATGGTAATTTTTTTTCTAACGAACATGTTGTAATGGGGTCCATCGGGCGACTGGCTACTTTCATGTTTTCTCGACAGTTCATGACCGCTAGACTACGAAAAAGTGGTCTGTCCGTGCGTCGTCTGTGTCCATTATTAGTAAATTTGATACATATGCATTTTAACGATAATGGTAAAGGCCTAACGAAAATTTGTCTAATCGGATGATTGGATGTACCAACAATTTGCTGACGCCCCCTCACCATTTTGGGTAGTTAAGGTTATTTAAATGTTATGCAATAATATACTCCTGTATATTGGTAGTTTATGAATCCGCTTCAATTTACTATTACCCATGAGATGTTTTGAACTTGTGCTGTGGCTAATGTGGGTTCGAATCCCATTATTACTGAATAAATTTTCACTGTGACTTTTATTGTCTATATTTTTTTACTTATAGGGGTTATCATAAAATAAATACAATTTTGAAAAATAAAATGTTATAATTTTTCGAAAAAACTGGATTTTTGATAGATTGTATTTGAGAAACGAGGAAAGCTCTGTTTAAATAACCTTAGAAAAAAAAAATTTTTTCTCTTACAACTAGTTGAATTTTTCAACATACCTACAAATATTTGTATTTTATCACCAGGCGCGGATCCAGAGGGGGGGCAATGGGTGCAATTGCCTCCCCCCCCCCTGACACACGACCGAGGTACTTTATTTTGACCAATTTCAAAATTTTGAAATCATATTTCATTTTGTAAATACAGTACAACCTCTATAATCCGAACTCACGATTGTCTCAACATCCAGTAATCCGAACAGAGGCTATTTGAAGTCGATGCCTCTTTAATCCCAACAAAAACTCTGCAATTCGATCTCAACTTGAAAACATGCATCTACTTCCAAAAATGACGCAAGATCTTTCTGCATATGTTGTATGGAATATTTTGAAATTTTTAAAAATTGCGATATTTCAAAGCACTGAATTAATTAACTAATTCTGGAAAAACGGATGAAGTTATCGGAGACCCAAAATCTACAAGAGAAAGTATTTGGTTAAATTTCGAAAATCGTCGAAAATGGGTCGAAATTTGCATGAGAAAAATTTCATTTTCGAAAAAATTTCCTAAAAATTCAGAAAAAATTCAGAGATATATATCCCGACGTGCTGATTCCAAAAATATACCATGTTTATGGTAACGGAGCAATATTTTCGGAAAATTCGCTGTGAAATTCGACGAAATTTTTAAAAATTGCGATATTTCAACGATTCTGGAAAAATGGTTTAAGTTATCGAAGAAATGAAGCCAGAAGTGACTTCTGAGGTCCAAAATCTACAAGAAAATATTTAGTTAAATTTCGAATTTCGTCGAGAATGGGTCGAAATTTGCATAATGGAGGTAATACGAATATATAGTGGAAAATTTCCTTTTTGAAAAATCCATCTAAAAATTCTGAAAAAATTCAGGGTAGATCCCGTCGTGTTTATGCCAAAAAAATTGCGTGTTTATGGTCACGGAGTAATATATTTTTTGAAAGTATCTATTATTATCCATTGTTGCTTAAGAATTCTTTAATTTTATT